GTGGGTGTCATCACAGAATGTTCTGGACTCAGAGGTACTAACATTTGTTACCACACCATTGCTTTCTCTCTACAGAACTAATTAAGGCTTAAACTTTATTGTTAATGATACTGGTTCATTTTAATGTGCTTATTGGTATGTTGTTATTTTCATTTCATGGCTTTCAAAAATCACGTTTCTAATTGTATATTTGTCTAGTGTGAAGCTGTTTTAAAACATGTAATACTATTCACAGCATTTAGTTCATTTAATTATTATAAAGCAGCCTACTAAAAAAAGTACAACTGTATTTGAACTTTTCAAGTTGATCATATGAGTTATGATAAGAAGAAGTCATTAAAGTCTTTTTTAACAGCCATTTGTGCTTACTTTTCAAAATAATTCCCAGTTATGTACTAAGAAAGATCTCCAACTGTTATGTATCTGCCTCTTTTTAACTGAGCACTGGTGATGTAGTTCTTAGGCCTAAGGTCTGTCATTGCAATACTTTTAAAGAAAGATGTTGCTCTAAGTGCTGTTAAAGCTATGAAATCAGCTTTTTCTGCTTGTTCGTAATGCTATGGTCAAACCACAGCACAAAATTATTAAAAATAATCAGTGATTTATGTGTCTCCTAGTTTGTTTTTTAATCTTTCAAAAACAAAGCACATGTGTGAATGTGTGTGTCGGGCGGGGGGCGGGGGGACTACATATGTTTTAAAACCCATCTCCAACACTTCTATGGTCCCTGGCTAACCTTTCCATTCAGCATTATTCATTCAGACTTTTAAAAAAATCATTATATTCTTCTATAAACAACTCTGGCCGATCACACCATATGATGCTTTTCTCAATTCTGTGTTCTCCACAGAGCGTCAGGGATTGTCCTCAGGTCTCACCACAAGAGGACCACGGAACTGCGTCACCTGAGCCGATGCCTGGGGAGGAATGTGCAGTTGCCGTCAAGTCTCTGGGTGGCTGTTGCAGAGCAACTGAGGTCCACTCACGCAAAGGTGAACAAGATTTCTAACAATAAGACCTGCCCGACAGC